AAAAAAGTTTTAGATTGGAGTACTCCAGATTTAGCTCAATAGTAAAATTTATTTATAAAAATTTGCAGATCCTTTTCAGATAACAGATATATTGTTTATTAAAGGTTATTTATAATTTACATAACAAATATATATAGTAAGAATTTGTAAAAATTTAAAAAATAACAAATTGATAATATCTTATCTAATTTTAACAATTTTAATATTATTTAAACCATCTTGTTAAAATAAATTAAATAATATCAAAATTGTTAAATTTGAATTACTAGATTATAAGATAATTAGACTTTTTAAAATATTTGGTATTTAAACTAGATAGTTTATTTTAAAAATAGACTTATTTAATATCAATAAAATCTAAAAGATATAAATATTAAAAAGTGATATAACTTAAATAGTTTTTTAGAGTTAAGCTATTCTTTTTTTGATAGTCTTCTTGAGATTTTTCGTATTTAAACCAAAAGATTTATTTTTAAACCAAAGTTTTATAAAATAGTATAAAGCTTAAAAATATTTATATAACTAAAAATTTACAGAAAAATCTTATATATTACTATTGGTTTACCATCTTTTAAAAAAATTTTTTGTAAAAAATAGGTATTTTAGTTTCAAAAGATTAATATCACATATATCAAAATATTTAGTATAGTTTATTTTTCAAATTAAATAAAAATCTATTAATTGTATCAGTTATTAAAAAATACAATAATTAATATGTAATACCTTTAGGTTCTTGTGTTGGTTTACTATTTCTACGAATAAGTCAGCGACCACCAAGAGTAAGCACAGGTTTAGATGTATTAATATATAATGGAAGATTTTTTGTTGAAAGAGGTTGACGGAAAGGTTTAGTTAAAGAAGATTTATCTTTAATTGGTGGTGTTGCTTGAAGGAACTATAAAATAAAAAAAATTAAAAAAAAAAAAAAATTGATAATAGTAAATAAATATTGCGCATCTACTTGATCATTTGATGAAGGTAATGTTCCTACACTATTGATTAGTTGAGATAATGTTTCTTTCTTTTGTTTATTTGATGGGCGTGCATAAATTCTATACGAAGATTCACTTTTATGGCCCGTAATAGACATTGTTGTAACAAGGGGAATGCCTTTTCGGAAAAGTGCTGTAATAGATGTTGATCGACCTAAATGATTTACAATATCTCAATTTCCTAATTCAATACCAACTGCTGTACATATATTTTTCATAAATGACTGACATGTTTTTCTCCTAATCTGGCATCGATATACCATTCATTCGATAAATCTATAAGTTTAAATAATATTAGCGTTAGATCATTTAAAATTTAAATTTTAAAATTTAAATAAAAAAAAATTACTTTTTTTATTAATTTGCAAATGTAAATATTCGCATTTAAAATTCTTAGGCCTTTTAGAGAAATA